TCTAACCCCCAACCCAGGTACTACATGCCCCGACCGGGAATCGAACCTGGGACTTTTTGGTGCACAGGATAACACTCCAACAAACCAAGCCACACGGCACCAGGCTAATTAAAAATTCTTTCTTCTTTTTAATACTCACCCAAGGATATATTTTTATTGATTTTAGAGAGAGAGGAAAAGAGAGAGAGGGGGGGGGGGGGGGAGAGAAACATTGATGTGCAAAAAACACATCAATCAGTCCCCCTGTACACACCCCGACCTGGGATTGAACCTGCAACCTGGGTATGTGCCCTAACTGGGAATCAGACCTGCCACCTTTTGGTGCATGGGACAACACTCCAACCAACTGAGCCATTCGGGCAGGGCAGGCTTTGTTTTCTTATCTATTTAGCCATCCTGTTTTTTGATTGGAGCAGTTAACCATTTACATTTAAAGTAATTATTGATATGTGTATGTAGTTATTGCCATTTTATTATTGATTCCCCCCTTCCCCCTCAAAGAAGTCCCTTTAATATTTCTTGTAATACTGGTTTGGTGATGATGAATTCCTTCAGCTTTTTCTTGTCTGGGAAGAGCTGGCTATTTGATACTGTGTGGGGATGTTCAACTCTAAGGGTACTGCCCAAAACAATTGAGATTTTTGCTAGTAAGCAATTAAAAGGAAGCTGGTAGTTCTATGAGAGCAAGAAGCTAAACCTTAGACTAGTTTATGAGAGAATCAGGGAAATAGCCAAGAGCAGGCCTCCTGGAGCTGGAACAGAAATGGACTGGCTTTAATAAAGGTTATCCCTAACTAAGTGTCTGGATTTAATTGGATTAGACTATGGAGCAATTTATGTCCCAGGGCATTGTCGAAAACAATAGAGCAATCAGCCAGCAGTTAGTGGAGGTTAATAGCTGGGTGTGATGCTAATGGAGGCAGACAGCCTACAAAGAGATCATGGGAAGAGACAGAGAGAGCCTTGCTAAAACCAGTCATCCCAAGGCTATGTTCTCTGAGGAGTGACAGGCTGCACACTGGGAGGGAAACAGGCATCAATAAAATAGCCAACTTTCTAAACAGATGAGCAAACCACCACTATAGGAAGGGATGTGTGTCCTGTTTAGTATCCAGACTTGCTACAATGTATTATCTAAACTGTTCATTAAAAAATAGATAAATAAATAAATGGTCCATTTTCAATAAAAAATTAGACACAAAGAAAAGTATGCCCCATACACAGGATAAAAAGTAGATATCAGAGCCCTAGCTGGTTTGGCTCAGTGGATAGAGTGTCACCCTGTGGACTGAAGGGGCCCAGGTTCAGTCTGGTCAAAGGCATGTGCCTTGGTTGCAGGCTCGATCCCCGGCTCTGGTCAGGGTTGTGTGGGAGGCAACCAATTAATATGTCTCTCTCACATCGATGTTTCTTTCTCTGTCTCTCCCTTCCACTCTCTAAAAATCAATGGAAAAATATCCTTGGGTGATAATTAACAACAACAAAAACGTAGACATCAGACACTGCCTTTTATTAGACTTAGAAGAAAAAGCCTACAAAGCCGCTAAGATAAATATGTCCAAAACTAAAAAAAAGCATGCTTAAAGAAGTAAAGGAAAGGCATGATGACAGATGACAGTCTCTTCAAATAGAGGTTATCACTAAAGAGAGAGAAATTATAATTAAAGAAATAATCCTGTGAGTTGAAAAGTACAAACACTGACATGAAAGATTCACTAGAGGGGCACAACGTATTTGAACTGGCCAAAGAAAGACTCAGCAAACTTAGAGATATGCATTGATAACCTTATGCAATCTGAAGAAGAGAGAAAAAAGAAAAATGAACTGAGCCTAAGAGACCTATAGGACACATCAAGCACACCTAAATATGCTTTATTGATGAGAGCACAAAAAAGGAGAGAAAGAAGAAGTAGAAAAAATGTTCAGGGAGATAGGGTTAAAATTTTTTCAAGCTTGATGGAAAGCATTAATCTACATATTTGAAACCTCATCAAGGTCAGGAAGGATAAATGCAGAGAGATCAGTATACCTCAGCACATCATAGAAAAAATGCTGGAATATAGTTAGACAAAGAGAGAAATCTCTTAAAAGCAAAAGAAAAATGATTGATCATGTCCAGGAGCACCCCAGTAAGAATTACCTGTTTAAGAAAATTTTTCTGATAAATTTTGTATATTTTTATATCTTGAATCATAAAAAATAGATTTAGTGTACTGTGCAAATTATGGAAATAAGATTTTTTTTGTTACCCATGACTTCAACAGAAAACTTATCCATTTTTCTGTATTCCATGATAAGTTTATTTTTATTTATGAGTCTAAGTACATGTTGTATGCTGAAGAACACTAAATTTGGTTCTAAATACAACTATTCTACGGTGAAAGAACTATTGAAAATTATCGAATTGCAACAAATATCTCTTCTAGACCTGACAACTAGAGCTACTTCTGAAGACCATTAGAATATTAAAGAAAGGCATTTTTTTTTACTATGAACAAAGAGTTAGAAAAAAGATATAATCTTGCCACTAGAAAAGGAGAGGACTAACTGATGCTTCTGTCTCCACAGGCTCTCTTACCCACTTTATTCTTGTCTTCCTTCCCAATTTTTGGAGTTTAAACCTAGTGATAGAGGTAGGAAGGAGGAAGATAAAAGTAGCAATGGCTGGTCTCTTTTCATGTGAAATATTATATCTGAGGATCTTATTGTACTCTTTGTTGCATCAACTTCTTTTAGAAAGAGAACAAATGTATTAATGAAATGTGTTGAGAAATTGCCAGCTCCCAATCACTAGCTTGAATTTGAAGTGACTTCTAGAATCAGTAAATTAAGAGGTAGATGCCCTGATATGTGTGTGTGTGTGCGTGTGTGTGTGTGTGTGTGTGTGTGTGTATTTCTCTTCCCAGATAAAAGAGAAGATAATATTAACACATAATCACTTAAGTTCACTGATGAAGATGCTGAAGGAAGTGACTCCTGACCAGTCCAACACAGAAAACTGATCTAGAACCAGAGCTTGAGTATCAGGCTCAGGCCTTACTGCCATCTTCAAAGACGGGTGCTGTTCGATCATTTCTTGAGAAAGATCAACTTCAAGAATGGACAGGAAATGTGGTTTATTACGTTTACATCTAGGCTGATTTTCCAAATGATTTGTGAAGCTGTTTATAGAAGATGAGAAATTAAGGATCTCTCTGGCCAAGATTCATATCTATTTGACTTCAGAAATTATTTTAGCTCTCATCAGTTTCCTAGTCATTTCTGAAAACACCGTTAACTTCATATTTAGGGATTAAGGGGCAATGTGCCATGAATGATCTTATCTTAAGAAATATATGGTAATAAAGTTGTACTTAATGTTGACTATTGTGATTCCTACATGGAGCAGTTATGTGAATGGTTGTAACCAAGAATTAACATTTCAGTTAAGCAATAAAGGTTTTATATTCTGCATTTTCTCAAGGTTATAGTCAGCCCTGTGTTTTATTAAAATCTGTAAATAAATTCCGTGTTTTCACTTCTTACCGAGCTTTCATTACAGCTTAGAGCAGCCTGTTTCAGGGGAGGGGCTGCTGGTGCCAGCCATGAGCTGTAAATCCACAGATTACTGTTTGGAGAGAGAGAGCTTCTGAACAAAGGGAGGAAGCTTGAGAAGGAGCTCTGCAACCACCCTTGGGCCCCCTGCCCCCCTTTCCCTTGCTCCCTCTTCCCTTTCTCAAGAGAAGCGGCATGTTCCTACTCCCCTTCAGTTCCCCCTCCCTTTACTCCTGGGAGAGACAGTGCACCCACAGCCCCTCCCCCTGATCTCTTAGTTGTGCTTTCTCTCTCCTTATAAAAACCTCTGCCTGCACTGAGATTTTAACATGGGTGTTTGTTTTTTAATATATTTTTATTGATTTCAGAGAGGAAGGGAAAAGGAGAAAGAGAGAGAAACATCAATGATGAGAGAGAATCACTGATCAGCCACCTCCTACACGCCCCTCACTTGGGGATCGAGCCCGAAACCCAGGCATGTGACCTAGACTGGAATCAAACCCGGGACCCTTGAGTCCGCAGTTTGACGCTCTATCCACTGAGCAAAACCAGCTAGGGCTTAAGATGGGTTTTTGAGGACAGAAGTCCCCCTGTCTTCTTGAGTTACTGAACTTGAATAAACCACTTGCCTTCTCATAACCACCTATCTCAATGAGTTTGATTTTTAAAGCAGCAGGCAGCGGGACCTGAGTGAGGGTCATTTTCTTGGATACTAAGAATCATTTTTTTCGCCCTGACCGATTTGGCTCAGTGGATAGAGCGTTGGCCTGCGGACTCAAGGGTCCCAGGTTCAATTCCGGTCAAGGGCATGTACCTTGGTTGCGGGCACATCCCCAGTGGGGGGTGTGCAGGAGGCAGCTGATCAATGTTTCTCTCTCATCGATGTTTCTCTATCCCTCTCCCTTCCTCTCTGTAAAAAATCAATAAAAGACAAAGATGCTAATTGACCATACCTTTGCTACGCTCATCAGCCAATCAGAAGAGTATGCAAATTAGCCCAACAAAGATGGCCATTAAATTTGCATACTGCAGGCAGATCCCGCTGCGCCACCCCACCCAGGCGGGCAGCAGCAAGATCCCAAGCTGTCCCTGCCCCAGCGCAGCATCCGGGCCTGCCGTGTGCGGCCTGGGGTGGGAGGGCAGGCGGCAGCGCGATCCCAAGCCGCCGCCCACCCCAGCGCGGGATCCGAGCCTGCCGTGTGCAGCCACCACCCAACCCAGCGCGGGATCCAGGCCTGCCATCTGCGACTGAGGGAGATGGGGCAGACACCACGGGATCGGGTGTGCCATCTGCCACCAGGGGAGCGGGCCTAAGCCAGCAGGTGGTTATCTCCCGAGGGGCCCCAGACTGTGAGAGGGCACAGGTTGGGTTGAGGGACCCGCCCCCCCCCCACCAGTGCACAAATTTTTGTGCACCGGGCTTCTAGTATTTAAAAAAGAAAGGAATAAGAAAACATTCACTGAAATGCAGTGGGTTTTTTTTTTGTTTGTTTTTTTCATATATTGCTTTACATAGCACTTTGGCCCATTGCACTTGTAATAAGGGTTTAAAGAAAAGAGACATAGAGTTATAAGCACAGTAACTGAACTGGTCTGGGGGGTTGAGGAAGTGAAGTTTCAGCAGTGATCTGAAAGAAAAACAGGAATTAATAATGTGGTGGAGGGAATAGCCAGTGCAAAGGTCCTGTGAGGCCCTTAAAAGGCCTTCAGGAGTTCTGGTGGCCAGAGACAAGAAGGTGCAAGGCCATACTGGACTGCAGAAGGATGTTTGCTTATCCCAAGAACAGTGGGAAACCCTTGAACTTTAAAGGAGGAGGCCTATGACAGGATCAAATTATCTTTTTTTGTAAATATTTTTATTGATTTCAAAGGCAGAGGGAGAGAGAAACATCAATGATAAGAGAATCATTGATTGGCTGCCTCCTGCACGCCCCCTACTGGGGATTGAGCCCACAACCTGGGCATGTGCTCTTGACCAAATTGAACCTGGGACCCTTCAGTGCACAGGCTGACACTCTATCCATTGAGCCAAACTGGGTAGGGCCAAATTTTCTTTTTCAAAACCTCATTATGGCCGAAGCCGGTTTGGCTCAGTGGATAGAGCGTCAGCCTGCGGGCTGGAAGGTCCCAGGTTCGGTTCCGGTCAAGGGCATGTGCCTGGGTTGCGGGCGCATCCCCGGTGGGGGATGTGCAGGAGGCGGCTGATCGATGTTTCTCTCTCATCGATGTTTCTGACTCTCTATCTCTCTCCCTTCCTCTCTATAAAAAATCAATAAAATATATTTAAAAAAAGAAATAAAAGAATAATTTATAAAAAAAACAAAACACACCTCATTATGGTTGTCCTGTGGAGAACTGGTGGGAGGGTGCCGGAAGCCGGTCCATCCTTGCTGCTTGACACAGTCGCTGCAGGAAAGAAACATCTGCACAGCATATGTTTCAAGGGACCTGGCATATATAGCATATTGTTCTTAATATGTTTGCTCTCCTTAGTGCCATGTGTTTTAACCAAGGTCACCTCTCCGAGAAAGGTTGTTTCCCCAGGTGGGGATTTTTCCCTGAGGTTAGGGAGGGCATACAACCCCTTAACTAAGTGCCAGGCGGGTAGTTAATCACTTTAACTACAAACAATCACGCTTAAGCTACATAATCTTTGCTCCCTGGAATGGAGATAAGAAACGCCCTAACCTTTGGAATAGAGATTGATAGGATTGGAATCAACTGGTATAAATACAAATGTAACAAGACACAGTACCTAGAAACAGAACCTATCGAGAGAACCTGGCTGAAGAACCTAGGGACGGAACCTAGAGACAGAACCTAGCGAGAGAACCTGGCAGAAGAACCTAGAGACAGAACCTAGAGACAGAACCTAGAGACAGGACTTGGCTGGAGATCCTAGACAGAACCTAGAGAGAGAACCTAGTAAGAGAACATGGCAAAAGATCCTGGATAGAACATGGCTACAGATCTTGGCTGGAGAACCTAGACAGAACATGGCGGGAGGACCTGGCAGCAGAACCTGGCTAAAGAACCTGGCAAGAGAACCTGGAGAACCTGGCGACAGAACCTGGCCGAGGAACCCAACTATGATGATCACCTGAATGCTGCCTCCATGTCATTCCTTCTTCGCTGATTCCGTCCACACCTTTGGGGACCCCTGGACCTGCTGGGGTTGGACCCCAGCAGGAGGGGTGGCAATCTACCACTAAAGAGGAGCTAACACTAGCACAATCAAGAGATGATATAGCCAAGTGGTGGTACACAGAGAAGTTAACTTGGTTCAGGTGAAGCTAGATTTTTTTTTTATTCCCTACCTGAGGATATGCTTATTGACTTTAGAGAGAGGGGGAGGGAGAGAGGGAAACACATCGATGTGAGAGAGAACATTGGTTGCCTTCTATAAGTGCCCTGACCTGAAACCTAGATATGTGCCCTCACTGGAATCAAACCAGCAACCTTGTGGCACTCAAGGTGATGCTCCAACCCAGCCACACCTGCCAGGGCCTAGATGTATGGTTTCTTTTGTTGTTGTTATTTTGTTAATCCTCACCCAAGGATATTTTTCCATTGATTTTTGGAGGAGACAGAGAAACATCCATGTGAGAGAGACACATCAATTACCTCCCACATGTGTCCCCGACTGGGACTGGGGATCAAGTTTGCAACCAAGGTATGTGCGCTTGACCAGAATAGAACTCAGGACCCTTTAGTCTGAGGGCTGATGCTCTATCCACTGACCCAAACTGGCTTAGGGCAATCTACATATATAAAAGCCTAAGCGACTGAATGGCTGGTTGACCGGTTGCTATGTCATGCACTGACCAAAGGAGCCAGACACTCAACACAGTAACTGCCCCCTGGTGGTCAGTGCACTCCCACAGCCAACCTCTCATGGCTAGCCAACCTCCCTTGGCCCCGATCCGGCCAGGTCGAGGGACCCCACCCATGGAGAAATTTGTGCACCGGGACTCTAGTCCTATATAATGAAAGCCTAATATGCAAATTGTTCCCTCGACTGCTCGTTATGACGTGCGCTGAACACCAGGGGGATGGCGCGGAACATGGCAGGCGTCGGTGACACGGCACTGGCAGCAGGCGGCAGTGGAGGTGCTGACGGGCCCCGATGAGAGTGGGACCATGGCGGGATGGTGGAGCAGGTAAGCGGGCTGCACCAGGCCAAGGCAGGTGTGAGCAGGGATCTGATTGCTGGCTCCCAGGTGCTGAGGGAGCTCGGTGGGGGGGCAGGGGGCTCGACCCTGATAGATAACCCTGCAAGCAGGTGAGGGGACAGCACCAGGCCAAGGCAGGGTGCCAGGCGGGGCTGCGAGGGACCCTACCTGTGCACAAATTCGTGTACCAGTGGGGTCCCTCGGCCTGGCCTGCAGGATTGGGCCAAAACTGGCTCTCTGACATCCCCTGAGGGGTCCTGGGCTGCAAGAGGGCACAGGCCTGGCCAAGGATCCCCACTGGTGCACAATTGCAGCCAGGGAGGGACGCAGGAGGTTGGCCAGCCAGGGAGGGACTGCAGGAGTGCTCCAGGGCGTGTCCAGCCCATCTTGCTCAGTCTCAATCAGCCAATCCCAGTAGCAAGCTAACCTACTGGTCGGAGCGTCTGCCACCTGGTGGTCAGTGCATGTCATAGTGAGTGGTTGAGTGACCTTAGCATATCATTAGCATATTAGGTTTTGATTGGTTGAACTGCTAACCGGACACTTATATTAGGCTTTTATTATATAGAATAGCAGGTTCTTTCCATTTTATACTACATAAAGGATGTTTCTCTTTAAAAATACGTTTAAAATGTTGAAAACTGATATGCTTTATGCTTTTGAGTTGCAAAATTTGATTCTGTAAGCAAGGGTGAAGCCTCTGGCAACAAACTACCATAATGCTATATTGAATCATCCTGGGGTTTTTGTTAAATGTGTGAAGATCTGCCTCAATATATTTCCTTTAAATCAAAAGACTATTCTTATGCAGCTATTTTCTTTAACCTTTGGATTTACCATTTAGGTAGCCTTTTAATAAAAAAAAAATGCTTGAACTTGACATCAAATTAACTTGGCTGGTTTTAAAAGGATTTCTTTTTTTCTAAATTATAGGCTCAACTCTAGAAAAATATGCAGATATAGATGTGTGACAAAATAAAGGGTGTACACTTCCCTTTTCATTTTTCAGAGGCATAATATAGCATGCTGGTAAGTGGGCATGCTCTGGAGTCCCAAAAATATATATATATATTTTATGGGTTTTATATATATATAATTATTGATTTCAGAGAGGAAGGGAGACGGAAAGATCAATAATGAGAATCATTGATTGGCTGCCTCCTGCACACCCCCTACTGGGGATCGAGCTCACAACCCCAGACATATGCCCTTGACTGGAATCGAACCTGGGACCTTTCAGTTCACAGGCCAACGCTCTATCCACTGAGCCAAACCACCTAGGGCAGTAGTTAACTTTTTAAACATGCTTTAGGTGGTATAAGAGTTGATAGCGTGGCTGATATTAAGAGATTCTAAGGCTACTGTACTAAAGTTTGATACCAGTTAGCATTGTCTATATGTTGAATAAAAGTAGTTTCAAAATTTCAGGTAATTATAAGAATAAAATTGCAGCCCTAACCAGTTTGGCTCAGTGGATAGAGCGTCGGCCTGCAGACTCAAGGGTCCCAGGTTCGATTCTGGTCAAAGGCATGTACCTTGGTTGCGAGCACATACCCAGTAGGGAGTGTGCAGGAGGCAGTTGATCGATGTTTCTCTCTCATCAATGTTCCTAACTCTCTATCCCTCTCCCTTCCTCTCTGTAAAAAATCAATAGATTTTTTTAAAAAAAGGATAAAATTGCATATTGAAGGTCCCGAGTTGTAAACTTTTTAAAAAATGGTTTTTATTGATTTTAGAGAAAGAATAGAGGATAGAAACATCAATCAGCTGCCTCCTACCCTCCCCCTACTGGGGATTGAGCTCAGAACCTGCTCATGTACCCTGACTGGGAATCAGACCAGTGACCTATTGGTTAATGGGTCTATGGTCAAACACTGAGCAACACTGGTTCAGCTGAGTTGTAAACTCTTGAGTTCCTTAATTAAAAACCATCTTTTTTAAAAAAATTGATTTCAGAGAGGGAGGGAGAGAGAGAGAAACATCAATGATGAGAGAGAATCACTGATCAGCTGCCTCCTGCTCAAACCACATTGGGGATCGAGCCTACTACCTGGGCATGTGCTCTGATCTAAATCAAATCATGATTCATAGGTTGATCCTCAACCACTGAGCCATGCCAGCCGGGCCATCTTAATTATTTTAAGCCCAAGATCTAGCATAGTACCTGGGAGTGGAGTGTTTCAGGAAGTGTATGTTAAATACTCTCTTGATTTATTGCATTAGTCACAGCACAAAACCACACAGCTTTTGTTCCTCTGCATTTACAATATTCAATCCCAAGGAAGTTTGTAAGGCCTAATTCTTTACTTGAAAAAACTCCTTTCCTTTCATCTTAATCAAGGGGAAGCATCTGTTCTTATTAGAGTATTAAAATCTCTTTATTTAACTTAGCCAACATTTAATTAAATATAAAAGGATCTTAAATGTTTTATCTATTTCAGATAGGAAGGATTCCCTGCAATAGTTGTTTCGTTGTTATAGTTGTTATACATAGGTCACTATTTCCTTACCAGAAACTGGCTCACAGACAGAGTAAGGCTGTCCCCTAAAGTAAAAGGGGATTGGCATAAATTTAAATGGGATGCCTCTTGGCATGCTCTCATTCTCTGGAGCATGCCCATGCCTTTTCCTTACCCCCCTTCTTCCCCCCAAGGCACATTACCTTTGTCTTTCTGCTAAACTCCAAGGGCCCTTCTACTGCCGTTGGAATGTTTCCTGAGCCTACGCAGCTCAGCTGACTCACTTGTACTACCTCTGTAACTTTCTAAATAAATGTTCTTTCAATTTGAAAACAGATAAATAAATGTCTCTTTCTTCAAATGGCTGCCTGTTCACTTGGACAACAAAAACCACAACTCAGGTACCTGGAGTCTGCCTTATGACAGGTCTGTGTATAGGTTCCTTTTCCCATCCTCCTAATTTACTGCATTATTTATTAGAAATTACCCATTCCAAGGAACAACACAGTGAAATTTCAGTGCACTCTCAGCCCATGCTGCTTTATTGCCAAAAAATATATATATATACACAGGTGCAGAGTTTCCAATTCTTAAAGCAGTTCCTTTTTACATAAAATCTTTAGAAAACAATAAAATCTTTTCTAAAATCCCAAAGATGCATAGATTAAAAAGCAAGCTGCTTTTGTAATACTTTAAACATTCAATGAAATTCTTTTAACATTATCGCCTATATCACTGGTGCAATGGAGAAGATGCAGAATAGCAAGTAAAAACAATGAGCAACAACTGTACTTAAAAGGACAGGTAGCACATAAAACCCTATGTAAAGGATACGCTAATGTGATTCTTAGTGATG